GTCGTAAATTAGGCGCTTATGTGGCTTTTTAAATGACCTCTTGTCGTTCTCTGTAATTAACATGTCATTGCGTCAAATTTGGGATTCTTATTTTTATTTAACATATTTTAGTTTTCCACTTTTAGTTTTTATTTATTGTTATCTTATAAACGATTTGATTTTTTTTTTCTTTAAAACGTTTTTTTTTTGCTGTGATCCGATCTGTGATCCGATCCGTGATCTGGTCCGTGATCCAATCCGTGATCCGGTCTGGTCCGGTCCGATCCAGGTTTTGTCGATGCCAGGTAAGCTATGCAGTAACAATCAGAATTTGTTTCTTGCCTTGACCGCCACCTCTCTGCCATCATGCCTCACAGCTCGGTGCACCTGGGCCAGACTAGCAGCTGCTATGGGATTGTAATCAAACTCCAGGAATAACTCATGAGCTTTCTTACCAAAGTCCTCAAGGAAAAGCTCATCAGCCTGAAATGGCACAAGTCAGAGTAGAAACCCTCTTTCACTTGATCAGGATTTTCAATCATTTTATAGGTCTGCAGTGCATGCATGGAGTGCAAAATCTGTCATTTGTTTGAGGTACAGAGTGGTTTCATTAACATTTTCAGCAGGAGGGAAACTGGTTTTTACAGGTGAGCAAAGCTTGTTGAACTGAATTTCTTTATAAGTCAAAGCAGGCAGGCAAAATCATCCTCAAAACTGGTCAATTGGCCTGATGCCCAGCCCTCAGTGAAACCCCTGTGTACACTGTAAGGAAAATAAATGGACTTTGAAAAATCCCTTTCATGAAATTCAGTGATGAAGTTACTGTCTGGTTTTTAAATTTTATGTGTTGCCTCTAAATTTGAACCTTTTATACTAAGTACAACATTGCAGATCCTGTTTTGTGTTGCAACCATGGTCAATGTTCAATGGATAGTGTGGCAGTGACAAATGTTTGACCAAGTTTTCGAAGTATTTAATACTCTAAGGCAGCCTGTAGCTTAGGGCACAACACATCAATTGAAAAACAATTTGAACAACTGACCTCTCCATGTTTCCTTCGAAGAGCCTGCAGAAATAAGAATCTATGTCAGGAGAGAGTTGATAGATAGTCTACAGATCTTCTTCCTAATGGATTTCTGAGTGAAAACAAGTAGAGTACAGTGGCTCCCATGTATGTGTAGGTAGTAAATCCTGGGAGGGGGGTGGGGAACTCCCATATGAAAAGGTTGGGGATGCCTGTTGTCTCACGTAAGCCGGGTATAAATCGAGGATTCTGGTCTCAGTTAGGGTGTTATGATGAAACGCTACTATTTTTAGCTTTCAAAGTATCTTTTAGGCTCCTTTCGAAGAAATAATTATAAGAGAAGACACTTAACTCTTATTTCCAGTTTTTAGGCTCAGTTTCCACCAGTATCTTGAGTACAGTCTAATTTTACAGTCTACTAACTCAGGCTTCTTTCCTGAACAGGAGCTGGTAAACAAGCCTATTCCATTTTAATTTTATGTAAAATACATTATGTATAGATTTAATTAACATGTAGTACATTGTACACAAACACTGCCTGAGCAGCTAGGGCAAGAATGGTTCAAATCTTCTACAAAGGAAAACACCTTGAGGGACTTCTCAGTACCTTGTCTTGTAGTACTTGAAGAGTCTCTGTGTATTCCCGTGGCAGAATATGATTAAAACAAGCAAGACCTTGCCCTAGCTTGATGTAAAGCCCTCCATTGTCAACTGCTCCCACTACAATCCTGTCTGCTGCCCTCTGGTGACATTGTTTAATGGCTTGGGCATATTCCTCTCCATTCTAACAGCACATCATACAACACACAAGATAATTAATGAGATTACTACTTTTTAGTTGCTGATTGAAAAACATTCAATTGTGCATGAAAATGTAATTAAAGACAATCTTGGTTTTTAAATTAAAATGTTCAGTAAACTGTCTAAAGATTTTGGATTGTTCTTTTTTTATTTATTTATTTATTTTTTTT